CCCCTCTCCCTCTCTCCTCCTCTCCCTCCCCCTTTCTCCCCCTCTGTCAGAAGAAAGATCTAAAAGATTTGACTGAACTTCAGTGCGAAGTATTCCCTGTCAACGCTCTCCGGCCTGCACCATGCCGTCCTGCAGGTTGCTCACCCTCTGAGCAGGAAGTAGCGAAAGGGCACCTCCACCTCCTGCCTGCCTTAGAGACTCCCGCGCTTTCTATCGATTGGCTATAACCCAATGCCTAGGCTTTATAAAGGAAGCTAGGGAAGAGGCCTGACTCCTCAGTTTGGAAAGCATAGAGGAAGCTAGTGACCATCGTTACAACATCTTGTTCAGAACCCTTTCTGACCTATACCAAGCATCCAGTGAAGAAAATGTATACCCTGCTCCTCTTGAGCTTCTCTCTTCTCGGCCTTAGAGAGGGTAAGTTTCAGCAGCGGGGATCAAAGGGAGGTATTTTAGGGCGCTATTCTCTAAACTCCTACTCTCCAAGACTCAGGCACTGAAATTCAAACCTGCAGACAGTACAGTCTATATTTCTGGATACTAGAGTGATAATATATGTTGGGCTAATCAAGAAGAAAATGTACAAATTGCAGGGAAACAGGGACAATAATTTTGGGACTTTTAAAAAATGACTTTTCAGCCACACTTATCCCACTTTCCTGAAATGCTTTTATCCTTCATTCTCTCCAAGAGTCTGACCTTTCACTTCCTCCCTCCGGCTACTCCTCCAGGCTTTGTGTTGCGGTTTTGAGCACTAGGAATGAACCCGAAGGCAGTGAGCTACATACCCGGCCGTATGGATCTGCCTGTCTGTCTATCTATCTATCTATCTATCTATCTATCTATCTATCATCTACCTACCTATTTCTATTTTTGAGAGCTCTTGCCGAGTTATCCTCATGAGTGGCCGGGATTACAGGTGTGCTCGGCTTCTCGGTGTGTTTTGCAGTGACCTAACTGATCACTAAGCAGCAGGATTCCTAAAGGTTAGCTGCTGCACACTGACTCTCACATGTGTTCAGTTGTCCATCTCCATGGCCTCAATTGACAATTTATTGTGTGAATGCCCTATTTTTTTTTTATTTTATTTTTTTTTTAAATCTCTAGCCAGGTTTCTATTCTGAGCTTCACTCTTGTATCAACAAATATCAGCCAGGAAGATAGACTGGCGGGCTAAGCACCCACCTGGCAAGCGCAAGGACCCAGGTTCAATCCTCGGCCGCATGCTGCGCCAGACCCCATGCTGAGTCAGCCACTGAAATCCGGTGTGGCGGTGCATGCCTGTATTCCCAGCACTGTGGAGGCTGAGACAGGAGGATCACTACAAGCCTGAGACCTTGTACCAACTTAATGTCTAGTAGGAAGTTAACCTTAAGACACACCACTCCTTTATTACTAAAAACTAGCAACCAACTCTGCTTTCCATATGTGAAATGTGCACCAAATTTAAAAAATTTCTATTTTATCACCCTTTGACACTTGAAAAGACACTTTATGTTAAACCATAAAGTATTAGAAGAAAATCCAGAATTATTCTTCCATAAATATAATAACGAGAAAGGCCTTTTTACTATGATTTAAAATATCTATTGTTCTTAAACAAAAAGAACAAATTTGATCACTCTAAAGTTTAAAGTACATTTCATGCTCAAATGTAATAAAGGCAACTTTCATTACAGGCAAATGACTGCTATCCCTTATACGTAAATTTGCCTCCTATTAAAAAATCAAAAAGAAAAATGCCAATGATCTACTATAAGAGAAATTTTTAAAAAATAAAATAACACTGAAATTCCATCCTTCACCTATCAGATCTTTAACAGCCAGAAATTTGATAACATGATATGATATCATCACTGAAGCAAGACAAGAATTTTGAAGCACTAGTAGCAAGACTGCTGCATAGTTGTGTTTCCTCTGGAGTATACCTAGGCAAGGTGTACCGAAGTTATAAATATCTAGCAATTCTATTTTCATGAAATTATCTTAGATACAATAACACAACAAATATATTAACTTCTTTGTCTAATAAATAATTTTCAGCATTATTAATTGCAGAAGATATATTAAAAATATACAAGAGGGCCAGGGATATAGCTCATTGGCATAAGCACCTGCCTGGCAAGTGCAAGGTTCTGAGTTTAATCTCCAGTACAAAAAAAAAAAAACCAACTAACTAAAAATGTACAAGAAATTATAAGTAAAAATCTTGTACTCTGAATAACTACTACAAAGACAACAATATACAACGTATTGATTATTGTAACTGTCCTACTAACCTGTTTTGAAACTGTCTCGTTGATGTTTGTTTCTCAATAAAATTAATAAAAAAAGAAATTACAAGTAAGGAAGGAGTTAATTAAAGCATGATACAAGAGGATATTTTGCAGCTAGTATCCACTGCTCAAAGAAATCAAAGTGTCTACTATGAATAATGTACATTATCCTGTGGTAATCCATTAGGAGATAGGTTCCAGGTCCTTCATGAATACTAAAATCCACAAATGTTTACATTTATCATCTAAAGCTGCATAGTGTTGCATATAATTTGTACACATCATCTCTAAATGACCTATAATACCTAACACAATGTGTTGAATAGATCATCACTGTGCTGTATTGCAGTAACGGTGAACCTTTTAGAGTTTCTAGTGACACATAAAGCCCTCTAGGGCACATGTGTCATAGATTCACCACCACTGGGAGGGGATAATGATAAAAATCTGTACAAGGTCAACAGAGATACAATTTCTCAAATACTTTCAATGTGTGGTGGGTTGAATTCACAGATGTGGAACTCAAAGATACCAAGGGCCAATGTTGCCACCAATTACAAAGGGAAGCAAAAGAACATGAATATGTATTTATATTTGCTTGAATATACTTAACATCAATCTGAAAAATACTGGACATTATCAATACTTAAACCTGAACAATATGTTTGGGATTATGGGTGTCACGTGTGTGAGTCTGCATGGTTTGGAGGCAGAGTGAAAACTAGGACTTTTAATGAAACTAGAACTCTTCTGTTATTACAAGGGGTTTAGTCCATTAACTATCGAACCCACATTGTTCTTATGGCTAAAAATGATGGCAAGCTTTTTTTCTTCTAATAGTATGTAGACAAGCTATGAGGGCTTGCTTGAAATTACCTCTAAGAACAGAAAAAATTAGTTTTGAAAAGAAGATCTGAAAGGAGAGTAGAACAAAAGAATAAAATTGTTTTCAGATTGTGCATCTGGATCCATTGTTGACCCACTGAAATGTAACTAGGATCATAGCACTATCTTGCCTAAAATTCTTTAAAAAATTTTTATTGTTCTGGAGATCAAAAATAACACTAATTTATGAGAACTCAGGAGGTCCGACTTTTGCTACCTAGCCATGTATTCCAACAAAGCCTACTCTAATCTCTATACTCTAGCTGCATTCTTATTTTTGTTTCTCTACGAACAAACATCTTTGGACGTGCTGTTCCCTAAGCCTGAAGTATTCACTCTGATCACAGCACACCACCTATTTACCTGACTTTGCACCTATTCATTGTCAGACCTCAGCTTACATCTCACTTCCCAAAAAAGTTTTCTTTACCTCTCTCAATTATGCTAGTTCTCCCCTCTTAAATACTGTCACCACATCAACTATTTATGCTGTCAATATGTGTGAAGAAACAATACTTGCCTTGCTTATCTTTGCATTTTGAGCATCTATAATAGTATCTAGAATGTAGAACATGCTCAAAAACCAACAATTGACATCATTCTTTCCTCCTAATAGTAGGAAAGTTGAGGTATAGCCACATTCACCACTTCAAGCAAAATGAATGAGTAGGTAGATAAGTTCTGAGGAGTAGTGCAAAGACAATTTGATTTAACATTAGGACATCACTACCTACATTTGTGAAAAAGGTCTTAATGAAATTATGAAAATGGGCTTTGGAGCAAAAAAAATGTCCTAAGTAGCAAATTACATTTAAGTCAATAGCATTCAAGGACTCTTGTATTCCATATAAATTTTGATTCCATAGCCTTGGACTGTCAGATAAAAACTGAAAACAATGTACCCTCTTCCCTTCCATCAGCCTCACTTAGACCATAAATCCAAATACCTCATTAGAGCTGGTGTAATCTCTCTCCCCTGTATCTCCTCTCCTGCTTCCTGGTTACAGGAACTCCTGTCCACTTGGGGGCAGTTACTCCATGGAAAGACCCAGGCCATGCCTGTTAGGTCATCAGCAGAGGGTACAATAAGAGTCCGTTCTGAACATACCATTTTCTTACTCACCTCTGGACGCTTCCTCATTAGATTCCCAGTATGCAGCAACTTCTCTGCCTACTCCTCCATACCCCATAACCAAATTCTACCTATATATTAAGCACAATCTCAGGTCATTGACTAAAGTATTCCTCTACCATCTTAGCCCACATAGCTTGACTATTTTCTATATTCAGTATGCATCATAATTTATCTGAAAGACTATATCCTGCCTTTGATTTTACCATAATTACTTCATATGTGTTTATCTTGTCTTCAAATATAAGTAGATACTATTCATCTCACAGAGATTCTGTTTTATTTTTATGCACTTCTTAGTTTAACTCAAAAAGCTAAGGAAGAATTTAATGAATACTAGCTGTTGGGATGAATACACAGTGTAGTCATAAGCAACATGAATGCCTTTTTCTGATGATGTAATCTCATTTTCCCATAGGTTGCAGTTCAGCCTAAATACTCTCATTTTCTCTCTGCATTGCAGTTAGGAGTCTCAGGTGTAACACCTGCATATACAGTCAACAATCAAGGTGTATGCAAGGTGAAGGCTTTTGCCTTGCGAAAAATGATGAAGCATGTGCAACCATATACTACTACAAGAGTAAGTGAGGCTGTTACAAACTTCAAAAATGCCTGCAAAGAACTACCACCCTGTGTGCCTGGGACCATATTGGCCCTGCTTTGTGGCGAGGCAAGGAAGAGAAGTGGGAGGCAAGAAGGATTCCCTTCTGAATTCCCTTGGAAGTGTTGGGTGTCCAGAGTCAGTTAGAGCATAGAATGGGAGCATGATCCTCGGGACTCTGGGGATCTGAACTAGTGTAAAGCGCTTTTCCTCTTGGTGGCGAATGGCAGGAAGTCATTGTGGAGATAATCTCCTTCAGCACTTATTTTTAATTTTTTTTAATGTTTATTTATTTATTTATTTATGTGTGTGTGTGGCCAGCTCAGCCCACCAGGGGGCGGGGCGGGCTGGCGTGTGGTGCTGGGGGATTGAACCGCGGTCCCTGTCTTTAGACAACTGAGCCATCTCACCAGCCCATCCTTCAGCGCTTATAACAGGCTTCTTTATTTTTAGGCAATGAGCATCTGTACTCAACGCACATGTGTAAGTATAGGTGCAAAGAGGAACATGGCAGAAGAGGAGACTTGATGAGGGTGACAATGTGCTGCTACAAAAACTTATGTAACATTGCCTAGAAGGAGGACAAGAATTCGAAGAGGATCATCCTCTCAAGACGCACAGTGAAATATCAATCAAGATGAGCAGCTTTGCTTCCTATACAAAATTCCACGTTGGCCTAAGAGCCCTGCGAGCAACGGAGGCTATACTTTTACTGCAGTGGAAGGGCACCCCATCACCACCATTAGATGCTTACAATCATAAGCATTGCAAAAAGAGTCCTTCAAGAGCTACGCTTACCCTGTTGCATTTTATTGTTTGAGTTCTGAGTTATGGCCCTTCAGTAAGATAAATAATGATTCTCCAAGGGTTTTATATCCTAATCTCTGGAACTGATAAAGGGTGTCTTTTGGGTCAAAGTTTCAATCTTTGACATTTAAACTTCACACTGCAATCCCTTAGATATATCTATGTAGCAAATGCTTTCTTGTCACTTCCTAGTGCAATATGTTGCCCTAATAGCCAGATTTATCCATTTCTTATTAGTTCTTTTACTCACTGAATTTTTTTTTAGCAAGAGTTATGCCCTTCTTAAAAACTTTTGCATGAAAAAGTGCTAAAATTTAAAGATCCTGAGATGTGGAGGTTATTCTAGATTATCAGGGTGGACCCTGAGTGCAATCACAAATATCCATACAAAAGGGAGGTAAGAGAAAATCTGACTGTAGAAGAGGGAAAGATAACATGCTGATGGAAGCAACAATGGGAGAAGTGGAGCAAGGCCCCCAAAGCAAGAAATACAGGTTGCCACTAGGGGCTTGAAAGTACAAGGAAACGGATGCTCCCTCATAGTCCCAGGAAAGCCTGCTAACACTTTGACCTTAGTCCTGTACTACATCTAATTTGTGGTCCCTGAACTAATAAATTTTATTGCTTTAAGACTTTAGGGTTGTTTGTTTCTTTGTTTGTGGTACCGAGGATTGAACTCAAGACACTGTGCTTGCCAAGCAGGTACTTATTCTACTGAGCTATCTCCCCCGCCCTAAGACTTTAAGTTTGCAGTAGTTTAGTATAGCAGCAATGGAAATCTAAAACAAATCTCAATAAATATTTTGTAATTAGGTAGTTGACTTGTCCCTCACAGAAGCCAGTCTAATTTTCTCTTCTTAGGGGCTGCAAGAGGAGAGGGGAGGAGAGGAGAGGAGAGGAGAGGAGAGGAGAGGAGAGGAGAGGAGAGGAGAGGAGAGGAGAGCAAGTGAGTGAGCAGAGAGCTCAATCTTTGACTTTTTTATGAGCAGAATATATTTATTGGGGGAAAGAAAGCTTCTATCCAAGAGTGGGACAGAAGGGAGGGCCCCGAGTGGGTGGTCGCCGGGAAGCTGTCTCTTCCAGGGATTTTTATAGAGGAAAACCATGCAAAGAGGCAGGTCTAAGGTGGTGGAGATCATGGAAACTTGCTTATGATTTAAACAATTTTACCTGAGCCATGGTGCTTGTAATCCCATTGGCTGACCATAATTTTGTCCCATCTCATGCCCACCTAAGCGAGTTTCAATCTTTGACATTTAAACTTCATGCTGCAATCCTTTAGATATGTCTATGAAGCAAATGCTTCCTTGCCCCTTCCTTGTACAATATGTTACCCTAATAGCTGGATTTTTCCATTTCTTATTAGTTCTTTTACTAACTGAATTTTTTTTAGCAAGAATTATGCCCTTCTTAAAACTCTCCTCACTCAGCTTCCCAAACTTCTCCTTTGTAATTCTCCTCCTGTCTCTCTCAAGACCCCTGAGGGAGAGCTTCTGTGGACACTGGTTGGGTCTGTTATCATGTCGTTGTTTTTATATTTGGGTCATTAATCTCAGTCAGGTCCACCCATAATATTGTGTTAAGAAAAGAGTGCAGTCATTATTTTTCTTCATAGTGTGAATTATATTTTTCAACCATCCAATATTAAATCTGTTTTCCACTGATTTCTGATTCTGGTTTTGTTTTTAAATCACACATCGACAAATAAGCTAAGCATATTTACTTTTTAAATATGCTCTTAAAATATTTATTTTAAATAAATACTCGGCCGAGCACCTAGGGCTACTTCCTGGGAACGCTGTCTCTCTCTCACTTCTGATGTTACACATGTGAATTTTTTCCAAGCAATGAATTCTTCAACTTCACTGGACACAAACTGGGTGTTCAAAACTTAATTCTGACACTAAATGCCACAGCCCACAAGACCACCTCCTCCTGCAGAGGCCCTACTCAGAAGACAAATTCCCAGGTTGTTCAAAATTTCTGTCTAAATTGGATAGTTCCTGTCCAACATTCTTTTCCCCAGTTTCATTTGTTTAGTCACTATTATGAACTTATTACAAAGGAATTATTAAAGGATAGAAATAAATACTAGGATTAAAAGGTACATATGAGGAGGTCTGAAATGACACTGAGCTCAAAAGCTTCTGTCCCTGTTAACTTAGAGGTATATCACAACAACAACACCCATAGCTCATGCATTCTTTCCTCTTTACCAGCCCCATGACACTATACAGTCCTTTGGTTAAAGATTTTTAATACATATTGCATTATATAAACATAGTTAATTAAGCCATGACCATTAATTAAAACTCTGGTCCTTCTCCCCTCTTCTGAGAGGTCAGAGTGTAAGGCTAAAATTTCTAATTATCTACTTACATGGTTGGTTCACTTAGTAAGGAGCCCTCACTCTGAAGATATCAAGGGGATTCCTGAAAATCTGCCATTAATATAAACTCAGGTGCAGGTGGAGGCTGTTATGAATAGCAAAAGTAGAGTTATTTTCAGAAATGGACAAAAGCCAAATATTACAATAAAAGGTGTTCTTTTTACTACCACTGGGGAAATTATGAAGAATTTAGGAGCTCTGTGCCAGGAGTAATGTGCAAAACCAAAATAAATCTGCTCCTCAACTTTTGATGGGGTAAATCCCCAAAAACTCATTTCAAGCTGAAAAAATCATTAAGTCAAGAAATACATATAGAAACCTAAGAAACATCAAAAATTAACAACGTAGTACACTGCAAAATGCCCAATTGTTCATCTTCGTGAATGTGAGAACTGCTATTGGCTGCTTGTGCTCAGCAACACAAAAGAGTATCACATTTTATACTGTTGGGGGGTGATTCAAAATTTAAAGTATGAATTCCATTTTTGTCCTAACATGAAGTCAAAAAATCATTGAATGCACCATGGTAAGTTAAGGTTTTTTTTGTATTAGTTATTTTTCAATTTCTGGAACAAAATATCTGACATTGTAATTTAAAGGAGCCCAGCTACCAATAAAATCCTCAATACCATCTGAAATCTCATAAGCATAGCCTCCACTGTCCTCATTCCTGTCAGCATGATGCTCCCCTCTCTACCCACCAGAATTGCTCATAAATCTCTACTTATAGCACTGTAGAGCTCCTCTATACCTTTATATCAGGGAGATCCTGGCCTTAGGTGAAGACAGGATATATTCTGACTCTTAGAGAGAGCTTTTTGTCACTTAAAA